AGGGATGTCTTTCTTCTTCTTTTTTTTTATTGTTATGTTAATCACCATACATTACATCATTAACTTTTGATGTAGTGTTCCATGATTCATTGTTTGTGCATAACACCCAGTGCTCCACGCAGAATGTGCCCTCCTTAATACCCATCACCAGGCTAACCCTTCCCCCCACCCGATTTATGTCTTTCTTATTTACGGTTGTAATTTTCGGGCCAGGAGCTGGCAAACTGTTGAATGAATGAATGAATAACAATGGAATGCTCATTTCAATATGTTAACCCTACTAGATGACACTGTGAAGTGGTCAGACACTAGAAGTTATAGATAGGATCACTGTGAATGTGACATATGTAAATGCAGAGCAGGTCACTGAATTTGAATTGGTAAATCCGATTCCACGGGTAGCATTGTTAACAGGGATGTGATTTTCCAAACTGATGAACAAGTCTTGGCGAGGTTTGAACAAATCAAAATACACTGTTTCTTCAATTTACACAGGAATAGCATTCCTGGATGTATTGGTATATAACAAAAGTATGCAAAAAAAAAAAAAAACCCCAAAACAAACCCTTTGTGCTTAGATGCAAATAGTTAGACTCTAGACTCGGAAAATAACAAAGCTTTTTTGTGGGTCTTTCAAAAGTCACATGTAAAGGAACTGTTCTCCTTGTCATGCACTTTAAGACATCTGGTATCCTTGGCCCTATCCACTAAATATCTGGAGTACCCTCTAATCATTGTGACAATCCCAAAGTGCCCCCAGAGATTTCCAACATGTCATCTTGAGAGCCACTGAGTTAGATGCTTTCTGTTCCAAATAACAGAATTTAAACCCACAGTGGCTTAATAAAATAACATTTATTGCCTCCTCTAACCGATCATTCTGGGGGTACATCAGCTTCAGGGAAGGCTTCACCAAGGATCAAATGATTTAGCAGAGACTTAAATTCTACTACTTCTCACTCTCTCTGTTCCTTAAATGTTGGTTCTACCCATTCGGCCTTCTCAGCAAAATGTCCTGGAGGCTTCATCCTGACCCGAGAGGCCTGTGGCCCATCTCCAACCCTGAACCCAGCATCTGGCTGGAAAAGGTGGGAAACGCTGACAATCACAGAGCTCCAATCCCCTGGAGCTGGGGGAGAGTTCATCCCGTGCAAACCTCGTGACCGGCCCCCAGGAGGAAGCAATGGTTTCCCAAAGGAAATTTGAGGGCACACTCCCCTCAGGAGAGGGAATGGGTGCGAGCAGCAAACAGCAGTTCTCCCCAGCTCCTGCCGAGTCAGTCTCTCCCGGAGCGGGCCTGAAACAGCATTTTAACAAACTCCATAAGGGATTCTTTTTATTTTAAAAGAGCTTTATGGAGACATAATTTACATACCATAAATTTCATCCCTTTGAAATGTACGAGTCACTGGTTTTTAGGATAGTCACAGCCTTGTGCAGTCATCACCATAATCTAATTTTATACCATTTTCACCGTCTCTAAAAGGGACTCTGTATTCGTTAGCTGTCACCTGCCGTCCCAACCCACCTCACCCCAGCCCTAGGTGAACATCAATCTTTCTGTCCCTGTGTATTGACCTCTCTTGGCTATTTCATATAAATGGACTCATCCAATATGCCGCCTTTTCTGTTTGGCTTCTTTCACTTAGCCTCACGTTTTCAAGGTTCATAGATGTAGTGTGTGTCAGTACCTCATTCCTTTTTATGGCTGAGTAATATTCCACCATACGGATAGACCACATTTTGTTATCCAGTTGTCAACCGATGGGCAATTGGGCCCTTTCCACTTTTTAGCTATTATGAGTAATGCCGTCACGAGCATTCGTATATAGATTTTTGTGTGGATGTAGGTTTTATTTCTCTTCCTTTAATACCTACAAGTGGAATTGCTGGGTCACATGGAAACTTTACGTCTAACATTTTGAGGAACTACCAGACTGTTTTCTAAAGTGGCTGTCTCATTTTACATTCTCATCAGCATGTACAGGGTTCTAACTCCTCCAAATCTTCCACAATACTGGTTGTCATCTTTTTTTTTTTAAAGATTTTATTTATTTATTCGAGAGAGAGAGAATGAGAGAGAGAGAGCATGAGGGGGGGAGGGTCAGAGGGAGAAGCAGACTCCCCACCGAGCAGGGAGCCCGATGCGGGACTCGATCCCAGGACTCCAGGATCATGACCTGAGCCGAAGGCAGTCACTCAACCAACTGAGCCACCCAGGCGCCCTGGTTATCATCTTTTTCTTTATTACCGCCATCTTAGTGTGAAGTGGAATCTCATTTCGGTTTCTTTTTTTTTTAAAGATTTTATTTATTTGTCAGAGAGAGAGCAAGAGAGCACAAGCAGGGTGAGCAGCAGGCGGAGGTAGAAGCAGGCTTCCCGCTGAGCAGGGAGCCAGATGCGGGGCTCGATCCCAGGACCCTGGGATCATAACCTGAGCCGAAGGCAGACACTAAACCAACTGAGCCACCCAGGTGCCCCTCATTTCTGTTTTGATATGCATTTTTCCTAATGACTAATGATGTGCAGCCGGTACTTATAGGCTATGTCTATACCTTCTTTGGAGAAATGTCTGTTTAGATCCTTTATCCTTTTTAAAGTGGATTATTTTTCTTTTTATTATTGAGGTGTAGGAGTTCTTTGTAGATTCTGGATACAAATCCTTTATCAGATACATGATTTGCAAATATTTTATCCTACTCTGTGAGTTGTCTTTCATTTTCTTGATGGTGTCCTGGGAAGCACTGAAAATTTTAATTTTGACGAAATCCAACATATCAAACCTCTCTTTAATCACTTGTGCTTTTGGTGTTGCATCTAAGAAATCTCCAAGGGATCCTTATATATCCTAAAGTTTGATAACCAGATGCCCTGAAGATATACTTTATCTATTTTTATTTTTTCGTTTATTTAAAAAGTTGACCCTGGTCCTATAGTGGGAAATAACACAGATAGGGTTCCTGCTCTCACGGAGTTTGCATCTACCAACGGTGGCATACTACAGGCAGATAAATAGAAAAAATTAGATATATTTTATATTGAGATAAATTTTATATAGAAAGAACAGGGAGCTCTGAGAGAGAGCAGAGATTAGAGAACCTCTTTTAGGCTGGTCAGGGAAGATTTCTCTGAGGAGGTGACACTGAAGTTGAGATGTGAAGGGTAAGGAGTCAGCCTGTGATGAGTACGGGAATAATATTTTATGCAGAATGGACAGCATACTTCACAATTTTGCTTTGACTAGTTTTATGTGGACTATTGGATTGGAAAGATACTTTAAAGATGTCTTACCATATGCAGATTCTTCAACCAGCATTTAGGATTCACTTGGACAAAGCCTCTCATTATCTTAGTTCAGAAGTCTTTTGGGGACCCCAAAAGGGAGTGACTTGGAAAAGGAGAATTACTATGTCTCTCTCTCTTCTTTTCTTGAAAAAAATTCTCACACAAAATCCATGCCATGTTTTTCACACAACTGTCACCTACACAGTGATATTTAGTGAAATAATTGATAATAATTTTTCTTTCGTTTCTCTGCATCTGAGTAACTACTGCTCACAGCTCAATATTAGCTCCAGAAGGGAAAAAAAAAAATCTTAAGAGAGCAATCGAAAAAAATGCATTTGTTGGCAGCAATTTCTATTCTTGAATGCACAGTAAGTTCTGAGCTTATGAGCTATGGGAAGAAAAACCTTTGTGATAAATAATATATTTGATAATGAGCATCAGGAGAAAAAAAAACAGCTTTCATTTGAAGAGTTCAAAATGAAATAGAATAAGTATGGGAAGGGCATCTTCTGCATCATGGGTGGATATGGAGGTGAAAGATCCATAATTGTTTTTCTTCTTCTCTCCGTGCCAGTTTATGGCATATCTTCTCAGACCTTTCTTAAATGTCAACTTTCAAAAGGGCTTAACTCTCAGGCTCTATGGCATCAGGTGATTTACTTACATTATTTCATCTTTTTAAACTCAACAGATAGGCATGTATGAGTATGCCTTTTTTATTTATACATAAGCTGAGATTCAGAAAGGTTAAATAATTCCCCCAGGGTCACAAAGATTAGCCAGTGCCAGAGTCAGTGCAAATTAAAAAAAAACAAAACAACAAAACAACAACAAAAAAACAAAAAACCAAACCCAACCCAGGGATTTCAGAATAAAAGTCTAAAATAATCTTGAGAACAAACTGCTTTAAGCTCCTTCAGCATCTGGCTTTCTGGTGACCTAGACTCTGAGAGGAGTTTCAGCTTCCGGTTTTGGACCAAATAAAGCATCTATCCCATAGGAATATTAAGGCATCCATCAACTTTTTTTTCCCCTCCCCATTATCCCATTTGTCCCTGAAGACAAGCTAGGTGTTTGGTAAGTGCTAGAGAGTAAATTATTGCTCTAAATGGTGCTTCAGTGGCCTAATAACAATAAGGAAGCAGCTCCCACAGTGCCAATCTGTAGATAAGGGAATAATTAATGCATTCACCAAAGCAGATGAATTTCAGAGGAATTTGCATCCCGCTCTGGGTGCAGCATCAGTTTTTGCTGGAGTCTCCTGAGCTGGGCTTTGTGAATTCTTACCTGACACCCTCCTGCCCTGTTTTCTCTTCCTTCCTCCCTCCCTCCTGCAGTTCACCTTTTGCTTCAACTTTTCTTCCCCTTATTTTAGCCCGCTGCATGAGGCTAGGGCCGGTACAGAACGTGGGGGTGAGGAGGGGGGAAGGGGGAAAAATATGAAAAGGAACTGTTCTGTCCTCTGAACTGGCAGCGCCCTGGTTTGTGTGTTGTAATTATCGCTCCTCGGCCTTGGGGTTCAGAGGGAGAGTAGAGTAGCATTGCAAAGATCTGTTTACATTCACCCTCCCACTCTCGAGGGCTGTGGGTTCCTCAAAGGCTGGCTCCGCGGTTGATTCCCTGTGTATTTCCAGGGCGCAGGACGGTGTCTGGCACCAGGCAGATGTTCCTAGACGTTGGTAGGATGAATGAAAGGTGAGCAGGAAAGGCAAGGCCAGGAGGAGTACAGGGCGAGATGGGAGGCGGAGGAGGAGGAGAATGGGGCTGTGCGGAGCCCACGGGGAGAATCCGAAAGTACGAGTGCGAAGGAGAGAGAAATGCAAAAGGGGACGTCCCAACGGCTGGAACTGGGACGGAGCGACGGGGGTCAGGGAAGGCCCGAGTACGGGCCACAGGCGCGGAGTGGGGCGAGCCGACACGGTAAGGGCGAGACAAAGAGCAGCAGGCGAGGCTGGTCGTGGGAAGAACCGGGAAGACGCGGCGGAGCCGGGGGGCGAGGGGCTGGGGAGGGGCGCGCCGGGGCGGGGAGGGGCGGCGGCGCGGGGGGCCGCGGGGGGCCGCAGGGGGCGGGGAGGGGCGGTGCGGCGGAGGAGGGGCGCGAGCGCCGCAAAGTTACTTAGCCTGCGCCCGCCCGGGTCCGCGTGCTGGCGGCGGGGCGGCGGGAGGAGCAAAGCGGGGCTCGGCGGCCTGAAACCCGAAACCTCCAGTCCGCGAGCGCGGCCGGGAGGAAGGAAGAGGCGGCGGCCGAGGCGGGAGGCGGCCGGGTCGGGGCCCTGAGCGGCGGCGGTGGCGGCGCGGTGAGCCGGGAGGGGGGACGCGGGGCGGCGGCGGCGCGCGGGCCGGGCCCGAGCGGGGCTGAGTTCCGGGCAGGGAGGGGGGGCGCGCGCGCGCGGGGGGGGGGGGGGGGGGGGAGGGCGCCGGCGGGGAGGGTCTCGGCGCCCCCTCCCCCACGCCTCCCCGCCCCCACGGCGCTCTTCTTTCTCCGCGCCCCACGGTGGGTAGGGACTGTGCTCCCAGCCGCGCTCCGCCAGCCGCGGGGGAGCCGGAGCTCTTTGTGGGAAGATTTTGGGGGCGCGTCCCTCCCCTGCGGCCAGGGTCTTCGGACAGGCCCTTCCCCTCGGCCCGCCCCATTTCTCCAGCGTCGCCCGCAGCCCCTTTTTCTAAGGCCCCCGGGCAGGGAGAACATCGGTGCATGCCCGGACCCGGCTGATAGGGGCCGTGCTCCCTCGAGGCAAGGGGCTCACGCCGCGCTCGGGGACAGACGTGGGGGTGGGGGTGCAAAGCGGCCTCGCCCCTCGGCTGGAATCCGTGAGGACCAGGTAGGTGAGCCTCATCCTCTCAGTCGGGCTCAGGGCGCTGTCTGCCCGAGCCTGGGCGAGAGGTGCGCCCAGAAGTCGCCGGGCCGACCCTGGCGCGGCGGGGTGGGCGCCTCCGCCCCTCACATCTGCCAGAGGGAGATTCGGTGAGCTTTGGGGGGACTTGGCCAGCCTTCTGAGCCAGAGCTTAACCCCGTGGCACCTTCTGACAAAGGCAGGTGAGGTGAGAATGTCTGTTGGATGACCGGGATGCTCTGCTGCGCTTCCGAGAGGTCTGCTTTCCAGTAACCACATGGCCATGCTTTGGCATCACTTTATAACATGTCTGCGGCTGTTTTTGTTCGCTATTGTACCTTTCAGTCGTTTTCGCAAAGTGCTTTCAAGAGCAGGTCATTTGATCCTCCTCACTGTGGAGTAGGGAGGTGGTGTGGTTTTGGAGGGAAACAACCCTAGGGCCTCGATGTGTCCAATGGGGATGGGATAATGGTAACTTCGGGCAAGCCCATCTCAGTGTGCTGCAGGCTGGGGAGGACGCACATCCCCGGGCCTCCTCCCCAGCTGGCCAGCCTCCTCTCTCGCTGTGACCTGGCCCTGGAAATGAGCTGGGGAGAGCTCCTGCATGGGGAAATAAGTGGCTTTCCCTTAGGATCCATCATACTGCAGCCATGGAGACAGGTGAGGAGAGGCATTTCCCAGGCCCTCCAAGCAGAAGGAGGAGGCGGGAGGAGCTCAGATCACACAGACCCGGGCTCTTCGTCCGCCTCTCTTTAACTGGGATTTGTGTCACCCCTTTCTGTCACTTCTCCCGAAGCGCGCCTCTTTTCTTGTTCTAGTCCACACCTATCATAAGCACTTTTCATATACATTTTTTAAAAATTCCATTCACTTAGCCTGTGAAGTGCAATTAGCCTGTTTTAGAGGTGGGGAAACAGACTCAAGAGAGGTAAGTACTCCGCCCAGGAGCCAGGATTGAACTCGGGTCTTTGGACTTGGCAGTGCTTTTCACACAGGTGGGTCCTTGAACTCAGGACTTCTCCCTGCCCCAAAGCTCTACCGCCGCGGCAGGGAGATTAGGGACCCCTCAAAAAGAGGCCTGCTTGGCATTTTAGAAACTAAATCCAAGGCCTCAGGTACTCATACCATTCTCTTTGTGTTGCAGCCCTGCGCGGTGGGAGTATCAGACGAAGGAGGACCGAGCGGTCAGAGGGGCTGAGCTCTTTGTTTGGGTTCCGCGGAAGGCAGAATGGGCTGAACTGGAACTGACCTAAATGTCCACCAAAGGAGGTACAGTTCTGTGGTATAAACTCTGCTGCTACCTGGGCCAGTCAGGAAGCCTTGCGTGCAGAGGAGGAGGGCAGGCAGAAGGGCTGCTGGTGGGGGGACCGCCGGTGGGAGGGGGGCCTGGGAGCATGCCTCCCTGTAAAGAGCCAGGTGCAGGTACAACAGTGCTCCAGGACATTGTTGCTTGACCCGAGTTTGTGCGGGGTGGGGGTGGGGGCTATAAATTTTTATGGGAAAAAAATCCCATGTTTTTAAAGATGGCAACTAATTCAAAACAGTTTTCAAAATGTGCAGAGCAACCAAATTATGTGTGGAAGCTGATTGTTGCCTGCAGACTGCTAGCTTGCAACCTCTGGGTTAGACCTTAGGAAGCACTTGTTGTCATTCTGAGATGCAATAAAGCATGACTGGAAGGGAGGAGTGGTATCTCCTAGCTGTTTTTCTTTGAGAACAAAAAACATCAACAAAACTGGAGATAGCTATTGGTGCTGCCTGGAGTTTAGAGGAAGGGTTGACTTTATGACTCAGGCCTTCATTCATGGTGCTAATCTCATCTGATTCTAGTCTTCCACCAGAAGAATGCTTACAACCGGGTGGTGTCTTTCCCTTGGCCATTTACGGGCCCAGCAGGCATTCAGGGCAGATCTGTTCAGGGAAGCTGGGAGCATAAAGGAAGGCGTTTTCTATGTGAGCTGGGGTAAAACAGAAGGAGGCACATCAGATTTGGGTTTGGGTTTGGTTTTTACTCAAGTAGCAGGTGAGAGAGCACTGCATCAAGAGCACTCTCTGAAGTCAGGCAGCCTGCACCCCGCCCCCCACCATTTATAAACCTGTGACCTGGGATAAATAATGCAAAGCATGCCTAGAATGTAGTAACTTTTTAAAAAAACATGAATTACTATAAAAGATTTTTTAAAAATAGAGAAATGTATAGGAAAATAAAATTTCCTCCAGTTCTCCTTCATTCCCTCTCCTCACTTGAGAGGGAACCACTGTAAGTATAGTATTTTCTAGGTCTTTTTCAGCGCCTGAGTATATGTCAACCAAGTCTGGAAGACAGATGAATATGTAATACATAGTTTATTGATACTACACTATAAAACATGATAAAATATTATCTGCCTTTCCAACTTTCAGACCAGCCTTAATATATTGAATATGCTTTTAAAAATACATAAATGGGGGTCATATATTATTGTGTGCTCTCTGACTTACTTTTTTGACTTAAAAATGGGACTTAGATGTCTTCCAATATCAAAAACATAGGGGCGCCTGACTGGCTCAGTTGGTGGAGTGTGTGACTCTTGATCTCTGGATCATCAGTTCAAGCCCCACATTAGGTGTAGAGATTACTTAAAAAAAAAAAAAAATAGGTGCCTGGGTGGCTCAGTCGGTTGAATGTCTGCCTTCGGCTCAGGTCATGATTTCAGGGTCCTGGGATTGAGCCCCGAGTCGGGCTCCCTGCTCAGCAGGGAGTCTGCTTCTCCCTCCCTCTGCCCCTCCCTCCTGCTTGTTCCCTCTCTCTCTCAAGTAGGTGAAATCTTTAAAAGAAAAAAAAAAAAGAACAAAGAACATAGATCTACTTCATTCTTTTTAATGGCTGCATAGTATTTCATAGTATAGATTCACCATAATTCATTTAAACAATCCCCTATTTATGGGCCCTTAGATTGATTCCAATTTTCTCAGTTACACATAATGCTATAGTGAACACACATCTCTGTGTACATGAGATTGTTTCTGGATAAAACTTATTCCTCCCAGTGAAGCTGGTGAGCCAAAGAGTATGTTATTTTAAGGGGCGCCTGAGTGGCTCATTCAGTTGAACATCTGCCTTCGGCTCAGGTCATGATCCTGGGGTCCTGGGATCGAGCCCCAGGTTGGGCCCCCTGCTCAATGGGGAGTCTGCTTCTCCCTCTTCCTCTGCCATCCCCGCAGCTTGTGCTCTCTCTCTCTCTCTCGCTCACTCTCTCTCAAATAAATAAAATCTTAAAACACACACACACAAAACCCCATTTATTTAAGAAGGGGCACCTGGGTGGCGTCTGTCTGCTTTCGGCTCAGGTCATGGTCCCAGGGTCCTGGGATGAGCCCCGAGTCGGGCTCCCTGCTCAGCGGGAAGCCTGCTTCTCCCTCTCCCACTCCCCCTGCTTGTGTGCTTTCTCTCTCACTCTCTCTCAAATAAATAAATAAAATCTTTAAAAAAAATTAAGCAGAATTCCCTTTGTTTATTGTGATCTGGGATTGTGCAGAAAGAAAGATTGAATTTATTTACTTGGTTTACTTGTTTGGGGATAGGTAGTATATATGAAACACAACATTTAAAGGGTGTAAAAGGTAACACCTCCCTCCTACCTCAGCCCTCTATTTCCCTTCTCAGATGCAACTAATTTTTCCAGTTTTTGTGTATTCATCTAGAGATAGTCGGTGCATCTGTAGGCAAATAAAATATGTCTTCTGTTTTCTCCCTCTAAATATGGGAGCATACCATTCTGCTACCCTATTCTGTTTATGGAGTTTTAAAAAATTATCCTGCATCTTAGAGACCATTCCCGATCAAAGTACTATGCATTTTAGGTTCTCCCAAGTTTACACTTTAAAAAAAAAAAAAAAAAGTTAATCTATTTACACTCCTTCAAATTGCCCCATGAAATCCTTTTCCAGTTTTTCTGTTGAGTTGTTTATGATTTCATCCATTCCTGAGGCTCTTTCTAAATTCTGGAGTTTAATTCTTTTCTTGTTAATAAATCAGATCTCTTGCCTTCTATGTTTTCTTCCCCAGCTTTGCTTACTGTGATGTGCAGAAGTGATGACTTTTTACAT